AACATTGTAGAATACATGAACTGGCCACCTCTTTGATCCTGCCTTCACAGAATATTTCCGAGCCTTTTGGTTGACACCAAATTTTGTTGAGTTATAAAATGATATTGTTTCTGGAAGCCTTTTTGTGTGATTATTGTCGATATCAAGTGTGGGTTGAAAGGAGCTCAATAATTTTTGCTGTGTTTTCCTTGATAAACTGTCAGTTATACCATCATGCTCCAGTAACAATGTATCATATAACGGCATCTTTACTTTTTTCACAAATTCAGGTACTTCTTTCAGAATTCGTTTCATCGTTCCAGTTAAACTAGTATTCTTCATTTTTAACATTTGGAACAGATTTAGTGTATCGAAATAATTATCTGTAGAGAAATTTCTTCCTTTATTTTTTTGAAAGGTTCTATCAAACGCAAAATGATGTATTCAGGGAGATATAGGTTTTCAGGACGTTCCTCATCTTTACCCAAATATGGAAAACCACTGAACACGTATTTACTATCAACATCAGCGGCAAGCCAAAACTTGATACTAAATAAATCTTTTAATTTAAATTAGGCATATATTGTGTGAAACGACATCTTGCTTTAGACAGAAACAGCTGTTCATCAATAGACTATATATGGTCCTGGTTTATAGCAACTTATTGAATTTTCAATAAATTTCTTCCAAACTTCAGAAATGAAACGGAATTTATCTGTTTAAAGGTATCCAAATGGTGTAGGTTTTTTGTCGAATAGCAGAAGTTTCATAAGTTATCTGAATATCTCTCGCCATAGTATCGCGGAAAAAAGGTGGACCCTGAACTACAGACTATCAAGCCCATATATACCTCGAGCATGCAAAATTGATATAAAAGCATCTAGTTTGTCTAAAGTTGTTACCATTAATTTTTTCCCTGTTGCCGGTGAGCTTCTTCCTCTGTACAATTTTTGATATGACAAAGCATAGGCTCATCTATAAGTAGCCTCTATGAACTAATTGCATAGCCATTTTCAATATTTCACTTTGTGTAACTGATTGGGCCACTATTTTCTTTGAAAACATTATGTTTTCAGCAATTCTTCCACGCACACAACTTCCGAAGATGATGCTTTCCAAACATGTTCCATCATTTGCAACAAAAGTTCCAGAGTTCATTTCATCTGGATTTAAATCTCTGATAACTTTTTACGTTTATTTACACGTTGTTTTTCTTCCCAGAAGTGGTTTTTCTGCTGTTTCATTGTAGAGAAAAATTAGATACAGTATCTTCATCCGAGGAAATGTTTTCTTCATCTGGAGGCACATATTCATCATCGCTGGAAACAATTTCTTCAACATTATTGTTTTCTGATTCATTTTCCGATAATTGTCGCATATATTCGAGGGCTTCACTAACTGTTAATTTATGCATATTTCTTCCAGCCATTTTCACCTAGGAACAATCTTATCTCCGCGTGTAAACAAGGTGGCGAAAATCGAACAGATTGGTACACTCAAACTATCTCCAAGGCAATGCGAATAACCAGTTGTGCAATCATAAAGAACCAGATGTGCACCTGTTAGACTTCCGCATTGTCTTTGGTAGTATTGCACCTCATTCAATTCAATAGGCCAAAACAAAAAAAATTGGAGAGAAAACATTCCTTGAATTTGGAGGCGTTTTTCTGATACGGAGCAATAACGGGAGAGGGGGGGGGTCTGCAACATTGGCTACTACTATAATAAAATTCTCAGCTGCCCTTCTGTTATCAGTAACTATCAACTGACCTTGAAGTATTATTCTGCATACATCTGAGAAATGGAAAGAGGACTGAAAAAGCTTTTCCCATTCCAAAAAATGTTGGATTGCAAATATTTTAGTTGGGATTATGACGGAATCAAAATGACCCATTCCGTGATTTTAGGCATAAGTATTAAAAACAAAAAAATGATACATATTTAATGCATCACATTTTCACAGATTATTATTGGTATAAAAATAGGAAAAATCAAGAAATTTTTTTCAATTCCGTTTGTAACTTTTTGAGAAAATTAGAAACAAAATTGTTTTGGGGTCAAACTGACTCCATCCACGGTTCTAGTGTTGAATAAAAATAATGCTTTGTCTTTTATTTTACTAACTATTTTAATAGCATTTTAGATAATCTTAGATATTGATTTATTTAAAACTATATGAGGTTTAGCAATTTTAATAATTTTCTGAATAAAATACTGATGTGATGCAGTCGTCACTAAATAAGCCCTAATTAAAGTAAAGAACTTAATTTTTTTTTTAATTCCTAAATATCTTTTTATGCCTCATTTTTTTATATCCTTCCTGTGTTTCCTCTTGTATAGTTCCTCTTTTAAACATCTATGTAATATGTCTAACCCTATAACATCTATCCCCTATTCTATGGGGTTTCTTAACTATGCATTTTCCCTCTAACTCTTCTGGGTGCCCTGTTTTTCAGAATGAGTTGAAAGCAGGACATAGACGTATAGACAGTGATCCTGGTAAAGGTATTCCTATCTGGAAGACTGAAACACGTCCTGTTACTTCCGACCATGATGATAAAGGGACAGGAAAATCTGTTCCCATGGATTTGTCCTTGGATGAAACTCGATTGCAAACCTTTCACCGTTCAGTGTCTTGTAGTATTGTGAATGAAACAGATGTGCCAAAATCAAAGCTGTACCATCGGGGTACATCACATCGAGATTTTCCTGCCTCTCTTATTAAAAATTTAGATTCGATAATGTCTGGTTCTCAGGTACTTCAAAATTAAATTTTAATGAATAATTATTGAGATTGCATAACTTGTATTAATACATGTATTAGTAAGGTAGTTGGGTTTTCTTATTTCTCTTTTGGTTTGAATTCATGATTGAGTTTTAAGCCTGTGTGGCTTTTAACCTGTTTTGTGATTATTTTTTTAAATTAGATTAAGAAATGACCTTTTATTTGCTAAGGCACAAAGAGGTGTTTTTTTTTGTCCAATATTCTTTATATGTTTTAGTTGTGTGCATTATATCAAATTTACGCCTTTTGTTTTCTTTCTTCTTTTTGTTACAAAACTGATCTAAGATTTTTTGAACCACATTAATCTTAAATTCCAGCTAATTGTTAATTAAACAGCAATTCATTAGAACTGAAAAAGTTTTAGGGTTTTAGATTTAGTAGATTAAGATAATATAAAATAATATTTGTTTTGTATTATATGTTACCATGTTTTCTCATACTTAAACAATAAAAATTTAATTTTTTTTACTGTTAAAGAAGCTTGTAATTATCCATTAATTTTTTTATGTAATTAGTAACATTTTAAGTTGTAGCTGTTTGCAATGATTGATCTATGATATATATAATTTCCTTTATATATAACATGTTTTCTCATAAACAGTTTAATAACTATTGGTACATAAATAGAGAGAAATTCTTTGCAATTTTTGTAAATGCACAATTACATACTGTATGAGAATATTGTATGTGTATGGGAGTATAATATACTCATAAAATGTTAACTGTTTTAGTAATCCCCCCGCCCTTTCATTCTGGTAGTTTGAAACTATGTTTTTAACTGAGAATTTCAACTTTTAAAGTAATCGATAAGTTTTCTGATTCATGAATCTCAAGTATTAGCAAAGTGAATATTCATTTTTTGACCATAAAAAATACGCACTTTGCGTTTTTCGTTCAAAATTGTTCAAAAGAAACACTTTTATTTTGTTTTAATATTTTTATAATGTAAATTATGTATCTTAATTTTATTTTCAGATCGTGTCTAGTCATAATATGGATGATTATCAGTGTAGAAGTTCAAGCAAAGAAATAACTGTAAGGATAAAATTGTTTCATTTATATGTATGGGCATTTTACATTTTGTAGAATTGTTTAACAATATTTCTATTATTCTCATTAAATAACATTTTAATATGTAAATGTAGTCATTAAGCTTTTGATTTCCAACAAGTTAATAATTTATTGAAAAAAGACTACCTTTTTTTTATGATTTTCTGTTCATTATAATGGTTGCCAAAAAATGCAATCTTCATACATTTTTAGAATAAGTATTTTTGGTAGGCAAATTTACGCACTACAAATTACTTGTAAATACAATAAGAATTTCACTGATGTGTAATTAAAATTTTGTACATTTACTGATTTTTAGCTGATATTTAAAGAGATTTAGTAATAAATTTATAAATGTTGAATCAAATTATAAGAATAACAGTATTTACAGTATGATCCAAAACATACCTCAATAATTTAAGGATGATTTCTTAAAAAAATAAGGTATACATTCCTATAATTACAGATGAGCATAGATCAATTCACGTACAATAAATTGAAATTGTAGTAAATGTATAAAGTGTGAGAATTAAAATTTCTAATGTTTTAAATTAAGTAAAATCTTTTTTAATCGCAACTTGTGAATTGATTACATATTGAGATGTTAAAGCACACACACACCCCTCTTTTTTTTGAGTGTTTGAAAGGGGAATTTAATAATTATATATATATATATATAATTGTACCAGGGATACGAGTTGAAAATATCATAGCAACTGCTGTTGAGATTGCCAATGCAATTTCTGAAGGCTGATGAACACTAGAACACTTAAGGAATGTTTTTTTTTTCACTAATATTTTAAATTTTCTTAGGGGTAAGATCCCTACAGAAATTAAGAATTTTTTTAATGTATGTGCAATTCCTTCTATAAACATTTGATTTAATCTCATAAACATTCTCTATTTTCGTAACTCGTACATGTTTGTTTTTTTCCAATCCCTACTATTATAGTTCATACTCTCTCTATATATAAATATATATCATTCAAATTTTTTCAATCGTTAATACTTTCTATTTATTCATTCCAGTTCAAATACATTTTTTAAAACTTGTAGTGGATGACACTTGATGTCAATACAGTTTCTTCAAATATTAACTCATTAATTAAATTTATTTAATGAATAAAAAGAAACAAACAAAAATAATAGTCCAATGCAATATATAAAAAGGAAAATTGCTCATTGTATCCCTGCAGCACAATGGGTAGCATGTTGGACATCTAATCCAAAGGTCGTGGGTTCAAATCCCACCTGTGATGACCTAATTTCTGTTAATGTGATTTTGTTGGAATAATTAAATTTAATTAATAACTAGTAACAAACAAGAATCATAGTCCATCACCAAATATAGAAAGAAAAGTGGAAAATTGCAAAGAAAATCGCTTTCTATTTTGCCACTTAATATTGTGATTCTGTCATTTGTATATACATATTTATATTAATTGGTAATTATTTAATAAAAAGTAACTAAAATAAAGTTTTTCTTTGTTAACCTAAGTAGGAATTGACTTAATAAAAAAAAATTATATATTACTTGTTTTTTTCTCCTTACACTTTCCTAGGCATTAGATTCTCTAGTCATTTCTGCCATTCATCAATTGGCTTCAAAATTATGGTCAAATTCAAAGCACTTGCTCGAACGAGAAAGGTTAGCTTTTAAAAAATTATTTTGCATTCTTTAGCAAATTTTTTGTATTTTATCTTATTGCTTTTTTCCTGTTAATCAGATGTTAATAATATTAGTTATGTTTAAATTAATGCATGTTCAATAAATTTTTTCTGTGAAAAAACCCCCATGAAATTTGGATGATGAAAAGTTTTTAAAGTTAAATAAGTTTTGTTTTATATTGTACATGAAAGGATATATCCTATTTAAGAAAAAATTGGGAAATTAAAAGGCATTTCTTTATTTTGTTATTGACAATTCAACACTTTTGTCATCGTTTAGAAAAAAATGTCCTAAGGGAAGTGATACTTGGTTAATGATAGATGAAGTTCTGCCTCAAGGTCCAGTAACGGGAACACCTGAAGATGGAGATTTCACTAAAGATCTGTCCAGTATTTTGAAGAACTTAAAGCGAGTGGAGCAAGGGTTAGATGGTTTGTATCAAATCCATATAATTTTTATTTGTAAATTGGCTGCATTGCCAGGCTTTTTCAAGTGTATAATTTTTTCCCTCTATTCTATTTTTGCACTGAACCTCATTGGTACTACAAGGGGATGTAAATACTCCCATTAGAACCTATTAAACAAATTAAAGTTATTTTTAATTCGATGGTAGAATTTCCTATATAATTTGTGTTGATGATGATTCTTTCTATTAAAGACCATAAATAACAAATTCTTAATTTGAATGAAAGCCGACAGTTGTGCTAGAAATATCTGACACAACTACTGATGATAGCATTTTTAATCCAGTTGTAATAAATGTGCACACTTGTTATCAAGTGAATAGTTGTTAGTTTGTAGTTTTGTTACGAATTTCAATTTGAATTTTTGTATGCTGTACATATGTATTGACTGAATTTTCATTACACGCTATATTTTGTGTGTGTGTGATAAAAATGAATTTTTTTTAAAACATTTTTTGGGGGGAGGGTATATTTAGTTTTTTCATCTTGCATGATTTGTTAAACTTGAGAAGCAGACCCCCAAATTTACCATTTGTCGCATGTATTTTTTACACGATTTTTTCCTCCCACGGTTATCTAAGGAATGTATTTACGATGTAAAAAAAAGAGTTAGTTGTATGAAGTTTTTCTTTTCTTTTTTTTTTTAAAGCTAAGTTTTTTCAGTTAAAGTTTCCAGATTTTGCACATCAATGACAGCCAATGATTTTTAAACAAAAAATGTTAGAAATTGCATGAATAAATTTTCTAAAAACAAAAATTTTAAAAATTTGCAATTTTTAAGTGAATTTTTTGATTTTTGGTCAAAACAAATATAATAAGGATTGACACATGAGGTGAAAGTTTCATAGGATTATTTTCAGAAATTGGGAATTTATTAAATGTTTAGTCCAATTTTGGGTAATTTTCTAGAAATTCTTTAAAGAAAGTTTTGGGAATTGGTTTTTTAATTTACCAGTTCTAGGATAGCAAAGTGTGCACAGTTTAAGAACATAAGCATGGTTGATCATAATTATGATAAAGATACAAAGCAATTGAAAGTGTCAAATGCGATTCTATCCATGAAAATATGTCATTGATTCATTTTAGAAAAAATGTAGAATATAATATTCTGTATGGAAGGCCTAACAGTGTTAAAAATGATGGAAATATAGAAATCTTTTCTCCTGCTATCCTTTTGAGCCTTTGCATGCTAGATGACATGCACAAGGATAGACCAATAATTCATTTTAACATTTTTAATTATTGTTTTTCTTAGTTTATTATAATTATGGAATTTAAATGATTAAAATTGAATCCTTTCAGAGTATTTCCCATTTTCAGGCATCGTTGGCCCATTTTTGCTTGCAGAAGCTTGTGAGAAGATAGCCTCACTTAAATAGATATGTTTATTTACTTTTAAATTTTAATAGTGTTGACTGTAAGTTTAAGCCTCCCTTCCCCCTTCTCCTTTATGATGGAATAGAAATTTTAAATATTTGGCTGTAATCTTTATAAAATTTGAAATGAAAGTTCCTTCTTTTTTTAAAATTGCCTTCCATTAAGTTTTAACAATTTCTTCAATTTTATTGTTTGTTATAACATTAATTTCTTGATAGTTTTATAAAGAAAGACAAAGAAGTGTATAATTTGTGCAATATCTTAATTCACAATGCATGCGAGTAATATTCTTTTTTCAAGAAATTCAACTTAAATGTTTGAACCCTTCTCAGTACAAGGCAGATTTCCCCACCCCTTTAAGCACTTTTATGCGCATTTAGCTGGTGAGTGAACTTGAATGAATATCACAATTAGGTTTGTAATGCTCATTAGGCTTTTGACGTCTTTAGTCCAAAATCGTGCTCATACAAGAGATTGTCCATGACCCACACACCCCTAAAAAGAAAAGGAGGACGTAGTTTGTCCCCCCACCAATATGCCGTAAAAGTAAAGTTTCTAGCTTCGATCTCAGTGGGGCTCCCCCTGTCACCTCTTTCTATGGAAATGAATGCAGGATTCTTTCTTATCCTAGTTGAAGCATGAAAATGAAACATAATTTTTTTAAAAATTAGGCTTAGAGAGAGAGAAATCCTACACTAAAATTAAATAAAATGTAGAAAAAGGACAAATTTTTATATGACTAAGTAAACAGTATAGTTATCATTAGCATTATTGCAGTGAATTTAAGAATAAAAATCTATTTTTGTAAGTGAATCAAAATAGCAATGAACAAATAGTTCTATTAATCAAATTACTTAAATATACTTTGAGTCTACAGCAGCACCAGATATATTTGTACAAAACTGCCATACAATGACAAAAAAGCTGGTATAAGCTAGAGATTATGTGATATAAATCTTCTGATTAAATCCCTTTTTAAAGTTTTGACCTAGATTCCTCTCTTCCCAATCTACTGCCTGTCTTACTATCCCTTTGCTTAAATTAATTCATGGATAGAAATGAACATCATTAAATTACAACCAAAATTAACAAAGCCAGATCGGGTCTTCTGAACAAATTACCTATTGTTTTAAGTGGGAATTTTAAAGTAGATTTTTCAAAAGACAAATCAAAACCTTTAGTTGATATTTTAAAATCAAAATTCAATTTATTCATGTCGAATGATCCAAATGAAAGCACAAGGAAGTACAAAACAACGCTTGATGAAGTTTTTTTTATAGATATTTAAATAAAATTTTGAATCTCTAAAGTATTTATAACCTATTTCAGCTACAATAAACCTGTTGTTTCCTTCTTAGAATGCAATTAATTCACAAATATGATTGTATATTTAGCACAAAGATATTACTTTATGAGTACAGACATATGAATAAATAATTTTATATGACAATACTAATATCCCCTTATTTTTGTTCACCTAACTAATCCCTGAAAAATTTGAAAAAACTTTGAAGTTGTCACTTCTATTGTGTGTGTGTGTGTGTGTGTTTGTTTTTTTATCAGCAAGCAGTTTTTTGCTTTCTTTACTGGTGTTCACACAAAATTTATCATTAATATTATACTTATAAAATTGATTGCTTTGAGATATTTAAGTTAAATATCTGCTGAAAAATTATTAAAAATATGTAAATTGTATAGGATTACCATGGACAATGCTTTATAATCTTTCTTGATCTTCAAAACACAAAAACCTTATGGAAATAATTTATTGACTGATTATTTTATTGCTGTCCACAAAAAAAAGTCTTATTCAGAATGTCAAACATACTTTGAATGGTTTTAGTAATTCTAATATGTATCATACAGCATGTAAAAAATTATCTCCATTTCTGCATGAATAATACCTAAAGAAAATCAAATTGTACAAAATGTTTCTCCATGGTCAAAGGATGCAATTTTTCTCTTTGTTGTATGACTTGCAGTGCTGACCATTCAAGCTCAAAGAAATCATGCATGTGACAGAGATAAACCAATTAAGAAGTCAATGTATTTAAAAAAGTAATTGTTATGTAGTAACAGAAAATGTTACAATTTTTTTTCAACTATTTAACTCGTTATTTTTGAAAAATGTTATTTAATAAAATTTTGGTGTGAGTTAAAAATCTAATGATTGACTATATTACTTTGGCAAAAAATGAGTAAGTCCCTTATTGTTTTGTGGGACTCATTCTCCCCCCCCCCTTCCTTCCCAATTAATAAAGATAATCTATCATTTGAGGAATTTAATTTTCCTAATTTATTCTTCAGGTATAATATTGTCAAAAGTAAATCTTTTTTGTTTATATGTGTTTCATTTATATGTATATAGTCCCCTGCTTTTTATAGAATTAAAATCCATAGAAACCCACAGACTAGAAATATTTCTCACTTATATTCAACAAATAAAGTAATGGGCAGTAATGTTAGTAATATAGTATATTTTTTAATACTTTTTACAAAATTGAATTATAATTCATACTAAGATTATTTATATGTGTCTTATTGTTGATAAAATTAATTTTCTTTTAATTTAGTTTACATTTTATGCTTGTTATTTCAGTTTTGTCATCCATATTAGAAAATGGCCACGATCCGGAACCAGGCGTTAATTTACAGGAAAAAGCACCTCTGCCACAAAACTTCTTTGTTGTGAATATGTAATAGTAGTGTGCTTCATTCTGCTTACTTCTTTTCAAAAAGTGTAAATAAC